ACAAGTGCAATCTGTTTGCATACTTATTGTCATTACTAGAGAGAATTAACCTCTTATTTGAAATAAAAAGCATTACCAATAGAGAAAGCACTTGGGTGAAACTGTAAGAAAATTAAGATAAAAAGCAATAAATGCTTTGTGAGGGAGCTGGAACAATATAATATATAGATTAGTGGAGTCAGTGAGGTGAGGATGAAGCTGATTCAAGTCTATCATCTCAGGTACACAGATGGGATGGCAGCCTTTGTCTGAGAGCTCTTGTTCCCAGGAAGAGTCAGATGACTGAAGCAATAAGAAAATTCTGGCTAAAGTAAAAGAGGATTCTACCTGAGCAAAGTTCAAGTACTGCTGTGTGGTTCAGCATCTCATTTCTACAGAAATGAATGTCATACTTTTTATGTAAAACACTGTGCTAGGGAGCCAGTATAATCAACTCAAGTGGACAATATCTTGCTACATATTTAACATTGGATTGTGGGATTTTAGTAGTCCATTAAACTTACATTGCAATTTTGAGGATGATATAAAAAATTACTTATCTGGCCAGCACTAGAGCTCTGACACAGCTATGGGCAAATGAGTTAAAATCTACTCTGGCCCATTTGTTATCAAGGGAAGTGCTTGATGTGTTTTACAGTCTTTGGTACTGAAGCTGATGCAAAGACCAGAAAATAATTTAAATCACATCCTGAGCTGATAAAGTGCCTTATAAAGAAGAAAATGCTTTTTTTGTAAACTGGCCAAAATTGATGAAGTGACAAACCAATAAAGCAATAATAAATTGTTTGTTTTTCAACATGAGATACTTTTATATATATATATACGTGTGTATATATGTATATGTTTCAGCATATAATAAACTTCCAACATGCTATTCATATACTACAATAATTTTGTGGTCTATGTCATATTCCTCTAAAAATTAAATTAAAGGAATAATCTTATGAATTCTAGAAAATTAAGAAAGGCTGTGGAAGATGAAAGGATTTCAGTGAAGTGAGAAGGTGCTAAAAACTCACTATGTTCCAATCAGGTATCTAACCTGTAACTGGCTTACTAATATCTTGGACATTAACAACGGATGGTCTCCATGATCTCAGAGGAGGGGGAGGTTTGGTCATGACTCCAGAACTTTTACAACATCTTGATTACTCTTGCCTTCCTTTTTTCCTTTAGGGGTGATCTTCTTTGCAGTTCAGTCAGTGCTCTTGATTGTTGTCAGTAAATTTGTTTCCTTTCAGCTACCCAGCTCCCTGAAACTTAGGCATGTTTGTTTGCAAGTTGTCTGGCTACAAGTGAACTAATGGGAAAGAAAGTCCTTTGAGTTGTCTGTCCTTTCCCTGGGGAGAGGATTTCTTATCCGAGATAATGAGCACGGTTTTGAAAAGAATGGGCATCAATTGCTATCAGTTTGAACATTGGACTTCACTCTTCTATGTCATGGTGATGCTGACATTGCAAAGCTAGGTATTGCACTCTTTTCACCTACTCCAGGCCGTTCACAGCTTCCTGTGTCCTTAAATGCATGTTCCTCAGTCAAAAATTGAAAATCTTCTTTGTATTTAACCCATTTATACTAGAAAGAGGAATGTCAGCTGGGCCAGCTTTCACAGTGTTTAGCAAGCCTGCAAAGAGTTTACAGCAGGTTGTCCATTTCAATATTCTCTGTGAGAGTGGATGCAAGAGCCTGAGCAATTTCATTCTGATGTGGTGAGAGCCTCAGCTCGCCTTTTACTGCACCCTCTAAATTACAGTTTGTGGAGAAGGAAAAAATATGTCCCTGAATTGCCAGCACAAACCTTACAGTATGCTTTCCTTCTCCTTTTAACTGCCCTGCTCTTTGAAAGTGACTTCTAAAACTTTCTCAAGACATACTAACATATGGGTGTATCTTTTAAAGATGATTGGATTCTACTCTTAGATCTTTTAATTCAGGTTGTAGATAGTCCAAGAGAATGGCTCTGCAATGATCTAAGCCATTCTCTGTAGTTATTTATGATTTTATGTTCTTTTTTTTCAGGAAATGAACAACACAGTGTGAAAACAAATTGTGTAAGGGGACTGGTGATGGAACATTTAAGTGAAGCATGGACATTTCAATTGAAATACATCATGTTAGTCAAATGTTGCCTGCTGGGCTCATTAGCAGTAACAGGATTAATTCTGTGGCCTGTGGTATGCAGGAAATCATGGTGCAAAAAACAAATGGCCTTTACTCTCTGTAGTGTGGGAATATCTAAATGTACCAGTCCTTAGGTATTCACTTTGTCTTAGGTTCTGGAATGACAAAGAGTTGTGTACATGCTTTCATGGCACATCCATTTTCTTATGTTCTTGTCAGAGTTAGAGGAGAGTAATTGCAGGGAAGGAACTGATTGTTTTGTTAGTTCGTGATTTTTGTGTTATTTTGGGGGGGATGGTTTTAACAGAGGTGATAGCTTTAGGATGAAAAGGTTCTTGAGGTTTTAGTTGCACTTAGCCTCTCTGTGTTTTGTGGTTCTTTTAATAAACAAAGTGTGAATGCCTAGACCTTCAAATAAAGGCTGTAAAAGTCCTACAATGTCTGGATGCCTGTCACTTCTGTCAAGATTATCCAGTGAAAGGTGTTGCTGTAAACTGTCATAGAAGTGCAGAATTTTAGCTTTTCTCTCTGTTCCTCTCATACTCCAGCTGAGTTTGTTTGCATACCTGTCACATGCTTGTGTTTTTCATTTTCACAATCCATGGAAACCTTAAATAATAGATACATTCCCTTTTCAGATATCTTTATTATCCTTCTCCCAACACACCTCAACCCCATACCTCTGGTTTATGAATGCCTTTTCAACATGTCTACTCTATGCTTTATTGGTTTGATTTTTGTTCTTTTTGGTAACCAATCCACAAGACTTCACAGTTACAACTGAATAAGGAGTAGGACTTTGAGCAGGATTCTGTATTACTTGAAACTATAAGAAGTATTTTTTTTGCTACATTCTTCTTCTACTTGCAGTGTTCTGGAAGTCTCTTCCACAGAACTCTGTGGATCTGTGGACTTCATCCCTTGAGCTGGACACTGTATTTCATAGGAAGCATGTGTGTGATAATAACAAACGTTTACAAGGGAAAGAAGACACATTTAGAATGTTACTGCATCATTTCAATTCCAAGTCAAAGGGACTCTGGATTTCCTTCATTCTTACCTTTTATATTGGTACTAATCATCAAAGCCAAACCAAACAAATTTGTGTATGGTGAGACATATATACACCAGGTAATATACAGTAGTTACTGGGTTTCTAGGCTAATATTTGAGCTTCAGTCCCTCTGCTGAGAAGAAAAGCAACATACGTGTGGATCCTGCTCCTTTTCAACCCAGCTTAAGTTCACTGTGGTTCCAGGTTAGTTTAGCTGATTTTCACCATGGCCTCTCTTGGGGAAGGAGGAGAGTGTTTTAGTGCTGGTTGTCTGGTAGGGAACTGATGGGTGTTGGTGAGTCTTATTAGTAGTATTATTTTCAGAGAATTGATCCACCCTTTTAACTCACAGTTGTCACCAGTCAAACAAAAGCAGTTTGTTTCTAAAGTGGAATCAATAAAAGGGAAAATATATTATGGTATTATGGCTTAGCTGGGAACACATCCTTTTTAACTTTTGCTATTTTGTCTTCTGTTTAAGGGTAGGTTTTCTTACCATTCATATTCTCTTGGTTGTACATTTCGTCTGTGTGATCTGTAATCTGCACAGAAAATACATGCTGCCAGCAGTACAAGGATAGGTTTTTTTGTTTCAGTGTTTGCTGCTAGTGTAATGTGTTATATTGATCCACTCTGGCCTCTGAAGAATTTTCTAGGTGGTGATGAGAAAGATGGTATATCTCCTCAAGACCTTAATTTTCATGCAAAACAATATTCAACAGAATCATAAAGCCCTAGACCTGGTAATAAAAATAGAAGCTGATGCTATTAATACATCATTCCAGATACACAGAGTGCTATTATGTGGCTCTTGGGCTGAGTAAAATTTCATGTAATCACAGTAACCATAGACTTAAGCTCTGTAAAGTTGGAAACCTATCCAGACGGCCATTCTCAAAGCAGCTTCTAAAGACTTCAGAGCTGCAATGTCTTAGGGCCCCAGATATGACTTAGTGTTAGCTTTTTAAAATACAATTACTGAACATAAGTGATCTACATTATGGAAGTAATAATAATAATGCTTTGCGCTCAGTGACCTTTTATTTAAGGACGCTAAAGCTCTTAACCAAGCCTTTTGAATACTCCCTTTCTGCTTATAGGAAATAGTGTTCAGAGTCTGGAACACCTGTGTGAGAGAATTGAGCAGGAGCAGTCCAACTCCATGGCATATTGCAAGCAGTCAGATGGTGTTTTGTGTGTGAGTGACACTGGAGAGTGCTCCTGTGGCTGTCAGGGAGGTGATGTCCTAGTCACCTAGCTGGGGCAGAGCTTCCTATACAGTAGTACTTTTAATCTTCAGCAGGGCCAGCCTGTGAGTGCTATTGCTTGCACATTGAAACACTGTGTGGCAGGAATGAGAATGACACACAATGGCCTAACCTGAATTTCCTTTATCTGCTCTGTGAACCCTGAGTGTAATAATGAAATTACCTAAAGGATTGGGGATTCTGTGATTCACATATACTATGCTTACCCGAGGAGCTTATGTGTGGAGTGATATATCCTAGACTCTGTAGATTTGGGACAGACAGGTAAGGACCTTCAAAGACTGGCCTGTATTTTAGGGAAAATGGTTATGTCCTTTTTAAAAGTGCCACATGTTGTCCATTGATTTATGGTGCTTTAGTACTCAGCTTAAAAATCACATAATGGTATTTATTGGTAATGGTAGTAAATAACTGTATTTGACATTTGCTTTTCTATAGTCAGTAGGTTTTTTCTGTCTTTTTTTTTTCCCCTAAAACTGATTTTATTGTGGATTTTCAGGGTCCAAAGATCATTTCTGAGAATTTTCTTGGTGAGTCTTTTTGTTCTGTCTTTTAGGTCGATGTGATTGTGGCTTTGGGCGGACTTGGAGGACGCTTTGACCAAACAATGGCATCAGTAGAAACTCTTTTTCATGCAACAAATATCACTCCTTCTCCAGTGATAATTATCCAGGAGCGCTCACTGATTTACCTGCTTCAACCTGTAAGTGTTGTGAAAAGTTAGTTTGTAATAAAACTGACCTTCCACCCACCCTGACATCGTAGGTCGTGCTCCATTAAATGCTCACTTTATCAGTTATATTCTGTAGGGTCAGAGCTGAAATATAAAATACATTGCAGGCAAGCAGACAGCAATGGTGGGCTCTGAATTCCTCCTCTGAAAAACTTTATGTTTAATTTGTTCACGATAGATTTGTTTAAAATGGGAGAAACAAGAAAATCAGAAAGTATGAAAACCGAATGGGGTAAATATAGAATATTGATTGTAAATGTGAAAAAAAAATAAAATTAACCTTTTGAATTAGATTCCAGTAAGTCTAAATTTAGCACACACCTCTTTTGCATGGTGAGTACCAATACAGATGTCTTCAATAAGAGGAACAGAGAAAAGGTGTAAGAGGATGTTAAGAGGGAGTTCCTGACATACACATCAGGCAGAGCTCTTATGCAGTTTGAATGGTGCAGTTCATTATGATGGAAATCCAGCTAGCATCAACAGGGGAATTTATTTAAGATGTATTATTTCTGTGGGTTTTTTCAGATCTGTTATTGCATTTATTGATTCACAAAACAACACACACAAAATATCTTGCTGATCTTCAGCTTCTGAGATTTAAGTTAAAGGCAAATCTAAACATCAAACACTGTTCTCTAACAGTGATTCATTTATATTTTGGAAAATATGTTTTCCCCTTGGCAAGGTTTCTAAAAGTTCACCTACCTTTCCCAATTTCTCCTGGAAAGCTTACTCTATTAAAATAAATAACATTCACAGGTAAATTTGACACAACCTTGCAGCAGTGGTGCTTCGCTATAATTTGAGAAAAGCATTAATGAAGTTCAATGAGATTATAGGTTTAAAGCCACAGGGCAGGTGCTCTATTAACAATTTGAAGCACTGTGTCTGCAAGAAAGGTAGTAGACACAGGAACTCTTTTGCCAGTATGATGAGGAATTACTCTGATCATTAGTTGCACAGCTAAATAGATGGAGGCAGCAGAGTGAGGAGGAAAGAGAAATAAAGGATAACTGTGGTTAAAATCTAAAAGTGAGGAGTAACTCGCTTGCAACTGATCTGTGTGTGCAGTACTTCACTGGCCACTGTAAATTTCCTTTAGGGTATTTTTAAGAACATGCTGAAGAGCTGAAATAAAGTGGACAATTTCTAGTTTAACTTACAAAACTCTTGCTAAGACTGGAAAGATTTCTAATTATTTTCATTCATCTCTTTCATAAGTGGCTTTAAAATCCCATGCCTAAGGTTGCTTTCATGAGTCTTCCATGAATAATTAAACCCTTTACAACTTGAAAAAAATCCACGATCTGTACATTTTAAATAGAAATGAGAGGTTGATAATTGTTTTGTTTGCTGGAAACTTCTTTGTTCTATTTTTAATAATGCTGTACCAAAAGTATTTAATACTTTCTGTAGATGGGCAGAGTTCCATAAGAAACTTCAGGCTATTTCTAGCATACAGAAATAAGGGGAAGATATAGGGGCAGGCCATTAAAACAATCTTAGTGCTAACTTTGACACAAAATTGCTTTTCGTTTTTGATTTAAACTGTTGGTATCTTCAGTCAACTGTTGTGGTACCTCCAGATAATAATATTAATAGATTAATAATATTAATAGTATTAATAGTTGTATTTTCTTTTAAAAAGTGAGTAGTTTATAAACTGAGAGAAACAAGGATCCTAAGCTTGGTAGTAGTTTCTCTCTTTTCTTTTTTTTTTTTTTAATGGAGTGCAGCTTGATATTTTTCTCTTCCAAACAGCCACAATCATGACATTCTCTCTTTTCCCCCACTTCCATTTGTAATTTAAAATCAAGGTAGGAGGGAGTTTAACACAGTGGGAAACCCACTGACAGTTCAAAATGCAAGTCTGGAAACTGTGCAATAAATGAAGCAAGGTTTTGCGATTCAAAGGCTGATGCAAATGATAAAGTTGAGAGCATGTTGCTTTTTCTATAAATGTAGAATGGAAACATTTCTCTCTTGGGAAGAAGAATCTGATATTTATTGGATTCTTTGGATAAAATATATGAGCAAAACATAATTATGGTTTTGCTTCCAAATATGTTAACCTTTGGTTCAGTGTAGAAGGAGAGTGGTTCTCTGTCATGTGTACCCAGGCAGAATCTAAAATATTTGGACACAGCAGATAAACTGGTAATTCCTTAAGACCCCTAGGAAGGATAACAAGGGGAGTAGCAAATCAAAATGCTGAATTTATAGTTAACAGTGCAGAAACCAAGAGGTGAATGGTGTGAGTAGATATCTAAGGCCACCAAAAATCTATTAATTATTAATCTATTAAAAAGATATTTCAAAATGTTACAATGTTGGAATAGAAGGTTATGGTAGAAGAAATACATCAATATTTAACACACTTGTACAGGGTCCTCAGCACTGCAGGAAACATTATAGACTTGCTAAAAGTGTTCAGAGTTGTAAGAGGAAGACAGCAAGGACAATGCCGATTTGGGATCTAGTGCAGACTACCAGGCAAGGTGGACCAGGTAAACAAAACCTTTTTTTTATTAGCCAATAACATTATACAGGTACTGAATGTAAGAGTAATTAGAACTTTGAGTATTGAGGCATTCCTTGGGAAATAGATAGGCAGACAGTGCAAATAGATTAAAATGTTTTGCCATGGAAAGCAAAAACTACAAGGAAGTAAACTCCTTTATGTTAATTTCTGACTTTTAAGGATGAGCTCCTGTAAGGAAAAGAGAAAAAAAGATGGGAATAATCACATCCCATAAAAACCTGTCTTCATGATCTCTATGGAGAAACTGGGTGGGAAGCTGAAATGTAGATATATAGACTGTAAGTGTGTAAATGTCGATAAATTAATTTCAATATATGTCAAACCACTAAAAAAAATTTAAGAAAAGAAAGCAGACATAAGATGAGTTGCACCCGTGGAAGGGCCCAAACAACGAGAACATAGTTTGTAGCTACAGAATTTATAAATTGACAGTGAAAGATTTTCTCTTGTCTGAATGGGAAAGGAAAACTAATGACAGGCAGCCTAAATGAGCATGTTTGCTCAGTCTTCACTAAAGCAAAATACTCCTTTGAGCAGATAACCAACACAGTTCAAATCAGTGCCAAAGTCTGAAGAATTTTAATTGCTTCAGAGAAAAAGCAAATAAAAGATGGAGCTGCCTTTGATTCTGCCAACTCCAAGGGCTGTTACTTTTTGTGTGCCATGCAACACTAATTAGGATAGGAGTCAGAAATAGGGAGACTTTGTAAGAATTTTAGGATGTGATGCTTGTTGTGAAGCATTTTCTCATGTGATGATTGGAGTTTGAAAAAAAAAAGAAAAGAGAAAAAAATATACCTGGGTACTGAATAGATGTTATATTTCATTCTGTAGTGGGGGAGGGAGGAAAGCTTGAATTTTTAATAAGGAGTAATCAGTCTTTATAAGCAGGATATTTTATGCAAGACTTCATACATTTTATGTTTGAAATTTGGTAATATAAATTACCATTAGACTATACCCTGGCTGAAGAGCATAAGGCCCTTAGAGTCATGTTTATCATGCTAGCCATGCTCAATATGAATGGCTTAAGGTTTCACATACATACTTTCTCATTTTCTGGTTGTGTGCTTCTCAGGAGTACAGAAACATTAGCTTCTGTACACTGCACATAAATTATCTTTTATCTGTGAGTTTTATGGCAGTTTGTAATACAAGGTAATTGGATTTATGACCAAGAAATGAGAAGATGTCCAAGAGTTAATGAGGCCTGTCTTTTACATATACCAAGCAGTTCAGTTTTCCCCACACAGGATTCCAGCCCTAGGATGTAGAGAAGAATTGCTGCCTACAGATGAAAATGCATTACAGCAGCATATTTTTGTCAGTTAAGTAACTCTTTTGAAAGAGTGTGTGAATACTTTGATAACCCTTCTTCTTGCACCCGGCTTTTCTTGTGAGTGCATGCCTGCCTTCCCTGTGGGAAATGATGAATAATTTAACATCATAGGTAGTGGCCCAGCAGCTAAATGTGAGCAATAAGAATCAGGAATCCCATACCTTATTCTTGGCTCTTTACCACGATTTCCTTGAAGGGAAATATATTGGGTAGTCTTTTGATCCCACAGTCTCCTAGATTGTAAATTGGGTAAAACTCATGTCCTTCTCTGAATGGGTACTGTATGGCTTGTTTGGTTATTTACAAAATACCATTACATCCTCTGCTCTGCACTGAGGTGGAACATAATATCATAGTAATAGTAACAACAGTATTAGCAAGGCCCTTAATTAACATAAACATTGTCATACAGGAAGCTGTGCAGATAATTAGTTAGCATGGTCTGGAGCACAGCTTCAGTGGGAGGCAGCCATCCTTCTCACAGATGGTGTCTGGGCATGCTCTGGGTTTAGCACAGGCAGGAGCTGCTTCTGAAGCATTTGGAAGGGACTGCCTTGTCATGGGGCCAAGAGAGAGCAGACACATGCACATGAGCACTGCTGTGCTGGTTGGCTTGTATTCCAGAGCTATTACCTGACCCCATTTACAGGTGCAGATAGAGTGCCTTGGCATGAAGATCTGCTCCTAGATAGAGACACTGCAGCAGATGAGAGAAAAGGTAAAAAGACCAGAAACTTTGCTGGGGTTTGTTGCAGCAATTCTCTGTGCCAATGTTATTTGATTTGGTTTGTGTAAAGTTTAATGGGAAGTTCAGGGTATATACCTTCAACTTGTGAGTTTTTCTCCAGCAGCCAGTTCTTGAAATTTGCAGGAACGTCAAGAATGAGTTATCTGATCAGTTCTGTACCGCCTCATATGTGTAAGATGCAGATCTGGCTTGTACTCAATGGAGAAAATAATGAATGTGCCTCCTGTGGGGGATAATTTTGGGATCTGGAAATTTAATGTCTCCTTTTCCTAGATATGTATTTTTGATGGGTAAATTCAGTTTAAAAAAGATTGCAGGCATTTAAACATATACCTAAT